ACTAAAAGCATCACGCAGTCAAGGCATGCGTACACAATGTTAAAGTCCTATGTACGAGGGGCGTTTCGGGGGGGAGGGGGGTCAATTTTTAGACAAATTTTTGCGTACGTACTTATTGAATGGCCCCTAAGTAAAAATCTAAACATAACGTTTTTAGTATTACCTAATAAATCTTTTGTCATATCATCATAATGAATATAAATTCAAAAACTACATTAAGTGTGGAATATATAATATTTTGTACAACAGAATACTGTATTATTAATTTAATATTTGTTTTCTACTACAGTATTACTTCACTTTTGAGATACACTGTACAGTGTATATGGTAATTATACATTGTCTAATTTTAATTTAAAGATAAGGTCATCTAATATTGTACCATTAACAGACCATTGTCTATTTATCTACTTCTTTAATTAATTAAAATATTACTAAATTTAATTGTGGTGGTGTTGGTTAAGATTGGGTAGGGTAGGGTAGGGTTAGATAGGGTTGGTTAGGGTAGGGTTGGTTAGTTCAGGGAGTTCTATTTTATTTATCTACCTGGACCAATTAAGTGGTTCCATAGCCTACCTCTAACAAAACATATGTAACAAAACACAACATTTAATAGGTTTTATTAATTTATGTTGAATTTTAGAATCGCGGTTAGGCATCGAATTGCCTGTCAATCCTTGTTAAATCATTAAATCACTTAAATAATTGTAATTTTGATTAAGATATCAAAAATAAGTTATTAAAATTTAAATCAAATTTAATGTAAAATTATAAAGTTTATAAATACAAAGTATATTCAAATTAATTTTGATATGTTTTCGTAATATGCTTTTGTATTGATATAATATAATCAGTAATTTATCATTTTTTAACATACAAAGTATATTCAAATAATCTACATTTAATATATCGTAAATTAACATTCTTAATAAATTAAAGTGCTAGTTTAAAATAAAATTAATGTTTTAAATAGCTTTTAAAATCTCAAAATGATTTAATAATTATTATATCAATTAACATAAATTTAAATAATAAGTGATCCAAAAGTCTTCGCAATCGTCAACAAAAGGATTATCCAATACTCGACTCGTATTCATTGGATTCAAGTCTTTAACATTAATAAAATTATTATCCAATATATGCGGCCATTGGTCATCCGGTTTACTATCATATAGTAAGCAAAATATTAATTATTTTGGAAATAACCGAATAAATTATTATATGAGATTATCTAGCTAGTTCTAATGATGGAATCACTTTGATTTAGTGAGCCAGGGTGAGTTATCATTATAGAATTTAATAAATAAATTTAATAATCTAGGTTCAAATATGTTAAGCTGATAATTATATAAACCCATATTTAGCGAAATCAGTCCACAGTTTCATGACATATAAACTGAAATCCACGTCCAGTTGAGTATGTGTTATGGGATACGGTTTGTCGACCCATAAGGGAAGTCCAAAAACAAACTCCAGTTCCGATGCGTGACAGACACCCATGTGCTCATCACAACCCATGAATTTAGCGAATTTTGACTCATATGTCAGTTCATAGAAATAAACCCTATTTTTTGAACCGCTTTTGATGGCATAATTGGCGTATTGTTTGGCCGTTAGATATGTCGGACATTTGATGTCAATATCGCCATAAAACGCGTAAAACGCTTGCCTTAACACATCCGAAGAGTGATTTTTGTGGTCATCTTTGAGATAAAATTGTCTAATACTTTGTAACTTAAATCCATGGTATGACTCGTTTGTTATGATAACCATATCATCAAAGTCTTTATCAGTGATATTACGGTGCAGTTGCGGAAAAGCTACATAAGCTAGTATTGATCCCTCATTCCTCATGACCCCCGACATTAGGTCTAAGTCTATGACAATGAATAAAAATATGTAAATAATTATTTTTATATATTATTTTGTAAATACTTTAAATAAAATTCAAACCTTTAACATACTTTGAGTCTTGAAAAGCCTTTGGTATAGGAATTGGCAAAAAGTCCGTTCCTTCCAAAGGGAACTTTGTGTCAACAGATTTACTGAAGTCTATGGCATCCCTTTCCCTCAAACAGTCCAACCAC